AGAGACTCCCAGCCCTCAGTGCACTCCCCATCCCTCGCGGGCTTTTCTTTCTTTTCTTTCTTTTGGAAAGAGCAATGTCAATGAATACTTACTGCGATACTTACACCTTAATAGAGCGCTTTGAGATAGGGGTTGATAATAGACGAAAGACATATCGTACGGCCGATAAGTTAGCCTTGACCTCGGGTCGGCTCTTAGATTAAATACTCAGTTCAAGGTTATACCCCAGTATTGATGCTTTCTCCAAGTTTTGTGGATTTACTTGAAGTTGATCTTCACAATCGAAGATTCACAATCGAAGATTCACAATCGAAGATTCACAATCGAAGATTCACAATCGAAGATTCACAATCGAAGATTCACAATCGAAGATTCACAATCGAAGATTCACAATCGAAGATTCACAATCGAAGATTCACAATCGAAGATTCACAATCGAAGATTCACAATCGAAGATTCACAATCGAAGATTCACAATCGAAGATTCACACTCGAAGACATCACAGCACGTAGCTATCCTTAAGTACTGATATAGAGTCTATAGGGTCCGATCAAAACCTCGAAAATCTTGTTCAATAATCCCGAGGCCACGGCCTTCTCGAGGTAGTAGGTAGTATTCCTGCCCACCATCTACAGCCCCAAGCGACCGGGTCTCACGCTTCAGGCTTTACGCATGCATTGCCGAATCCTATCGCTACCAAGGGGGATGTTACCCCTACCAATCCGTACTACTCACTGGCCACCCATTAACCATACTGTACGCCTCCAACGGGGTCGTCCCATTCAAGGGCTCGTAATGCATCCGCTCCCCACAGTTCTCCTGATCCTCATGCCCACTTTCCCGCAATTCCATACATCTTCCCTGCAGCAACGCCGCCACATGCGCGCCCGCCTCCCGCCCCTCGAACCACGCCCCATGCAAGAACCCAAAGTACGGGGCGCTGGTCGCCTCGCCCGCGAACCACAGGCGGCCCGCATTCGCCCGCAGGTTCTGGTGCATCTCGAGGGTCGTCCCCGCCGGCCAGTTGGAGTAGCTGCCGTAGGCCCAGGGCTCCTGCGACCAGCGCGGGTAGGTGACGTCCGTCGGGTGCGGGATGACCGTGTCGGGGAACATCTCGCGGAGCACCTCCAGAATCTCGGCGGTGGTTTGGGCGGTGGTTTGGCGCTCGACGCGGTAGGCTTGTTCGTCGACGACGGTGACGACCAAGATATGAGAGTCGGGGAGGAAGGTGGGCGAGGAGAGGGATTGAAAGATCGGGTAGTAGCCCCGGGTGGTCGGGGAGGCGTACAGGAAGAACTGGGTGTCCGTGGGCCAGAAGGTATGGGGAAACTGCAGGAAGATCTTGGTGTAGGTGCCCATGTTGAATTTCTCGATCGCGGTCTGCTTCCACCGCGGCAGCGGCGGGCGGAAGCTCACGGCGTGGTTTTGCAGGACCCCCAGCGAGAAGGTGCAGATCGCGTAGGCGGCTTCGATGCAGGCGCCGTCGGCGGTGTGGATGGTGACGCCTTTGGGGGAGTGGTCGATGGTGGTGACGTGGGTGTTGAGTCGGAGACGCGGGCTGGGGTTGTTGCGGAATATCGCGGCGGCTTCCTGCTCGATGATGGTGCTGTAGCCGCGCCGGTCCAGGACGAAGTGGTTCGCCTTGCCGAACTGGTTGAAGGTCAGGTTCTCGCCGGCCATCCCGAATACGAAGGAGCTCGTCTCGGGGGAAGAGGCGTCCTCCCAATCTAGATGTCGCACACAGCACAAATGTTAGTCCACAGCCGGACTCCCTTGGATTGAGGGTCACTGGAAGGGAAGCAAAGGGGGGGGGAGTATGCCCTCTCTGCCTCGGTGGGGGTTCTTCCTATGACGGATTGGCGAAGTTTCATCGGATCATACCCCAGTTCCACCATTCGACTGCCTGGGCAGCCATGTCGTTCTTGCGAGGGCGCCACCCTGCAAGGGCAAGCCCCGTGCGGGCGGTTTGGTCTTGCAGGTTCTCCATCAGGATCCGGCCGGCGTCGCGCGCGGCAATCTCGTAGACTCGAGCATATTCGTCGAGGATATATCGATAGTCGGCTTCGCCGGTCTCGTTGTACGTTCGGAGGGAGCTGTAGTTAGAGTAGGTGTTGCGCAGATGGTGTTTTTTAGCCTGTCGGTTAGCGTGGTTCGGTGTATACAGAGTTACGACACATACTAAAGCCCAGACAGGATTCACTGTCGTAATGGTCAGTCTGTTGTTGAAGTCTAGTAAAAGGGATGTACTGGCGACGTACCAGTATCAGCCGAACCCAATCCTTGTAGCTATGGTGGGGCGCAGTCAGTTTTAAAGCTCAGCCTTAAAATGTGTGTCGAATGCGGGGAAAATACCCAATTAGCCCCGAACTCCACCACATACGGGTTCCCGTCCTTATCCTTCCCAAAGTCCGTATGCCACACCCGACCTCCCAGGGTCTCGCGCGATTCCACCAGAACAAAGTCGGTGACGGATGCATTGGTCAAGGCTTGCTGCTCGGGTTAGTTGGTTGAGCACGGCGGGAGGGTTACTCAATACCCACATACCGCTGCAGCCACCCCGGCCATCCCACCTCCCCTGAGCCAGTTAGTGGTGACGAACAATCTTCCAAATCTAATGCTAATCAGCTTACAGGATGGCCACGGTCGTTTGCGTGCAGGTGTCGCCCGTCAGAGGGGTTTGCGCGACATAGGCACTGCCGGGTTGAGCCCCTATTGTAGCGAGCAAGAACGTGAGGGAGTTCAATAGATTCGAATGTGAATGCATTTCCACGTCTATAGTCTAACGACACTGCTTTTCCGCGGGTGTCGAGAACGGCGAAACAGGGCCTAGAAGACCTTCCACGCGGGGACTTTCGGAGGTGTGCCAGGCTATATAGACTTAGACTCCGAACTCAAGGCCGACAAGAGACATCACACCCGGCTTTCAGCATGCATGCATGCTGGCACCATCCGAGTGACGGTCCTTTTCTGCAGCCAGAAAAAAAAAAAAAAAAAAAGGGAGAAAAAAAGCCAGACAGACAAAGAGGAAAAGATGGACAATGCTGCAGGGCGGACGGCGATCAAATAAACCCGGGCGATCCTGCTTGGCATCCGGGAATTGCATCACCAGGGCTGCACAGGTGACTTCGGGCCCTTGGCAGTCAATTGGCTCCAGCAAAACATTGGGTCAATCGCCATGCTACATGCTAAAACCGCTAAACTTAGGGGCATGTGCCGTTCCCCGATATTTGAAACGAACTGGATGATTTGGATGATTTGGGCCGGAGAGGCAAGGGGCCTCGTTGATTGGCCCGATAAGCTGTGCGTGAAGTACGTACCATGCCAGCCTGGTGGTTGCGTTTG